TATGAAAGTAAAATTTTACTCTGTATGAAAGTAAAATTTTACATTCTGAAACTAAAAGTAAAATTTTACTCTGGTTCTGTCAAATGAAAAAAATAGAGTAATAGTTTTACTCTGGTTCTGTCAAATGAAAAAAATAGAGTAATAGTTTTACTCTGGTTCTGTCAAATGAAAAAAATAGAGTAATAGTTTTACTCTGGTTCTGTCAAATGAAAAAAATAGAGTAATAGTTTTACTCTGGTTCTGTCAAATGAAAAAAATAGAGTAATAGTTTTACTCTGGTTCTGTCAAATGAAAAAAATAGAGTAATAGTTTTACTCTGGTTCTGTCAAATGAAAAAAATAGAGTAATAGTTTTACTCTGGTTCTGTCAAATGAAAAAAATAGAGTAATAGTTTTACTCTGGTTCTGTCAAATGAAAAAAATAGAGTAATAGTTTTACTCTGGTTCTGTCAAATGAAAAAAATAGAGTAATAGTTTTACTCTGGTTCTGTCAAATGAAAAAAATAGAGTAATAGTTTTACTCTGGTTCTGTCAAATGAAAAAAATAGAGTAATAGTTTTACTCTGGTTCTGTCAAATGAAAAAAATAGAGTAATAGTTTTACTCTGGTTCTGTCAAATGAAAAAAATAGAGTAATAGTTTTACTCTGGTTCTGTCAAATGAAAAAAATAGAGTAATAGTTTTACTCTGGTTCTGTCAAATGAAAAAAATAGAGTAATAGTTTTACTCTGGTTCTGTCAAATGAAAAAAATAGAGTAATAGTTTTACTCTGGTTCTGTCAAATGAAAAAAATAGAGTAATAGTTTTACTCTGGTTCTGTCAAATGAAAAAAATAGAGTAATAGTTTTACTCTGGTTCTGTCAAATGAAAAAAATAGAGTAATAGTTTTACTCTGGTTCTGTCAAATGAAAAAAATAGAGTAATAGTTTTACTCTGGTTCTGTCAAATGAAATTAGATACAAAACAACAAAAATAAATAAAAAACAAACAAACAAACAAAAACAAAACAAATTAATCAACAAATCAACATATCTAATTGAGAAGAAAAACTTCTAAAATTCGATCAACAATCACAAATCTCAATGAAAAGAATACATGTGTTCAACAACACTCATACACACAAATATATATATATATATATATATATATATACATATATTCAAAACTCAAATCTGTGTTTAAAAAAATATGTATAACCAAACAACTCCACCCGCACTTTTCTCCACGTGGTCATTACGAACTCGATGGATCTTCAAATTGCAATAGAAGCTTCAAATTGAGTCTAATTTCGCTTCAAGATAGCAAACACAAGTCTGATTGCGATTCAGTTAGTGAAGTCGATCTGCAAGTCGTTCGAACTTAGAGTTTGCAACCTTTAAGCCAGATGCAAACTGAAATCGCAATTCCAATTAGAACTTGAAATCCAAAGTTCTCATCGAAGTTGACTCAAAGAACAACGAGTCACAAGAGAGAACCCAAGGTCAGATCGCGAAGGACTCCAGTTCGTAATCGTGAGTTCCAGAAGCTTGAATTCGGGTTGATTGTCGAATCGGATCAATTTTGCGATGAAGTCCTTGGTTTCTTAACAGACGCAAATTAGATTAAAGCTTCAAACTAAGCTTCAATTCAAATACACAGGTCAGATTGTGATTGCTTGAACCAGGTCAGTGTTCTAGGTCAAAGATTGAATGAATCTTAGGCTTAGATGAACTCGATTTTGGCTGGCCAGAGTCATAGAGACCAAGAAGGTGGAGAGAGAGTGGGTGGAGAAGGTGGGAAGATTTAGTTGAGGGTATAATAGTTTGAAAAAATATTTAAATAATAAATTTTGTCCTTTATGCAAGATTTTATAATTATGAAGGGGTTTAGAAAATTTAATTTTTTTCTTAATCCTTTTAACAATGAAAAGAAGGTAAAGGGAGTTTATAGCCAAATTTTATTATACTTTACATCATATAAATTGTTTGTTGGGTCTTGTGGACCTTGTACAGTGGATCTTTGGTCTAATAAAGAGTTTGGGGGCCTCTCTCAAGGGAAGAGGTTCCGATGGACAGTTTGGATACTTCGATAATTTTTTATTATTTTTTTGTTACTTTAATTTCTATGTTTATAAATAAATAAAAAAGGTGTCTATTTTTTGGAGAGAGTTGTAATCGTTTTCTAATTATAGTGAAATTTGCAATTTCTTTGACTCATTTTATTTTATTTTATTTTTGTTTACTATTTTGTGTTTTATCAATCCTTATTAGGAAAATCGATTTCCTAACATTGTCATATATATATATATATATATACTAGCATTATACCTGTGCTATGCACAGTATCACATAAATAATTAAAAAATAATAT